GTACGCATTATCTTAATTTCTATTATATTTAACTAATGTTAGTTCCGCGAAACATTAATACGGCTCACGGCAATTTTAATAATTTCGCGATTTTCGCGAATTTGACTGCGTGACGATCTGCGATTAAGTCACGTTTTACATTTTTCCTCAAGATCCGGAAATTTCACTCGAATGTAATGCTGCGCAGGTAACACACAGGTGACACGCAAGTGCCGTAAGGGTGACGCATGAGCGGCACCCCCATGTCATTTATTTTTGGTAAAAAATCTCTGCTGATCTTCCTATAATGCAAAAAATATCAATTAATTTAATAATTTTAAATCGAATTCATTGAATCCCTTCTTGCTATAATGAAGTGATGTGAGAATCGTGTAACCGAACCACCCGCCATATAGTGAATTATTTAAATGGATTATAATGGATTATCCAAAATGAGTATCGATTCTTGAATGTGATTTTGCGCACGGGAAAACCCAACCCTTTCACGCATCATATCTGTCTGCTTGATTACCAACAATGGACTAATCTCAAATAAAAATAACGTATGCGGATTATGTAACACACCGAGATTTAACGTCAACTTTACGTCAAAAAGGATAATCCACCCTTAAAGGGTCCTTCGACACATTTCTAACCTTACTTTATCCCGCAATCCTTCAACGTCTCGATGACGAAGTTTATCGTAACGTCGTCGAAACAAGAAAAGAAAAAAAAAAAACGCAAATCGTTACCGGGACAGCCGGGACGGTTATAAACAAACGGGGAATTGATTGCATGATTACATTGCAAGCCGCCAGGCTGTGCCCTGTTCTATACATGAATACCAAGTTGTTATCGATTTACCGATTCAATATACAAACAAATGGTTATACTGTACATGCTTAGCCTCTTGGCATGCAGGTTGTTAATAGGTTAAGTTGAAAACTTCGTAAATGGAGGGCCCATCAAAAGGAGATTAGAATTTCACCATTCCCTGGTTTCCGTATCTTCAAATCATAATTTCTTTGATGCATCATTAATGGAAGGAAAAAATAATCTTATTTACAGCCCGCTTTCCACATTTCTGCCCGGCGGGAGTGTGAAGGAAAAGAGTGATCACAATGACGACCCAGACTTCTCGTCGACGATTTCAACGACGAAGAGAAACAAAGTCTGTATACGTTGTGATCCAAAAATACGAATCGGATTAATGTTTCCTATAATATTCGCTTTTATTTATTTGCTGCACCTTCTTTACCTCGAATATCTAACGAATGACGTGGAAGGGAACAGGAGCGATGGCGATGAAATAAAGATTGAAATTACAATAGTGGACATTCTTCCGGAACGACCTTACGAAGGGTATGTTCTGGACATGGGTCGCATAAATGAGCATTGTGAACCAACGGATTACAAAAAATCAGCGCTCAAGCGTTTTCCGGTGCAGAGTTGCCTGGATTATTTGGACACTCGGCAATACGATTACATGGTGAACCCTCCAATAAATTCGACCACCTCTGCTGCCACCGACAATGTCACCACCACCAACACTTCTTCCTCCATATTGACATCAAATTTACAATGCGCACCCGGGAGAGAACCAATGCTATTTCACGTTTATTGGCGAGGAAAGTTTACCGACAAGATAGCGTTAAACATCAAATCATTTCTATACACGCAACCGCTTAGGTGTTCCAAGATGCTCGTTTGGCTAGAGAAAAACGACGAGGACTTGAGAGCCAATAAGCACGCCAAGTCATTACTCCGGTTTTCCCCCACCAACATTGAATTCCGAAAATGGGATATCACCGAACAATTGAATTATGATAGCATTTACTCTGGGTGGGAGAGGAAGTTGAAGTCGAAGACCAAGGTGGTCAGCTATAGCGACACTGTCCGTTTCGTTCTACTGCACAGATACGGCGGGATATATGTGGACGCGGACACAATATTTTTGAGAGACATGAGTCCACTTTACTATTTGGATTATGAATTCTCTTATCGTTGGAGTTTCAAGTTTGATTACAACACGGCCGTCCTGAGAATACGACCAAACAGCACCACCTCAAGGAAGATCATAAACGGGGCAATGAAAAATTCCATGAAATTCCACCCGTTTGCGATAAAGAAATATTTATTTGCCGACGAGAAAGATCAAACCAAGGAAGTGTTGGACAAACAACTTTACATGATGCCCGTTGCCTTATTTGATCCTTTGTGGTTGAAGTCCGATTTGCACGTCAAATCGCAAAAATTAAAGCCTAACCTGGCGCGTTGGAATGATGTGTTTTCGGCGGGACTGCTGAATAATGAGTTCCCGGGGGCAAATAAGGAATTGTTGGCCAAGGCGGCAAATGACACGACGTTATTAAGAAAGAATGATGAATTCTTCAGAGGTGCATTCACCTATCATTGGCACAACCTGTGGAAGCAAAGAATTGCTAATGGTTCTTGGTTTGATGTGTTGCAGAAGGGCTACGACGATTTCATAGAGGGAAAGATTCGTAATCCCTACAATGAATCGATAACCGATTATACATAGTTGATCCATTGTATAAGATTTTTTTTATCATAAAAAAAAAAAAAAAAAAAAAAAAAAACCCCAAAACACATACGTACGTAATCCTTAATAATTTCGAAACCATTTTACAATAAAAAATATGGTCTAGTACAGTGTATGTATGTATGCTTACATGCGTATTTAAATTTTTTTTTTTTTTTTTTCGCATTCAATTTCTATGAACGCCACCCAATCACGTGAAACCTGATCGTTCAAATTTGGCTCGTAAGTGCTACGCTTTCTACACAAGTTTCCATTTGTTATTAAGATGTTTTGTGAGAACGGATTACCTGTTTCGTGCAGCAGGGATTACCACTAGTTCCACGTTGAATGTGTCACGAGCAGAAACAATCGATCAAATACAGTATTAATCATGGTCTTTAGGTCATTCTCACGTAAATAAAAGTTCATTTGTTTGTGCATGAATGCGCATATAAAGGTTTGCCGAATAAAACTTCTCATTTGACCTTTTCGTGAATAAATCGCACGTCGCATTTCCAAGTTTCCTCTACTGACGATTGGTTGCGAACAAATTGTAATCGACATGGATGAGGATCGAGGTAAGAAGTATCCGTACGAATTTCTGACACAGGCTACTTCTCCGAGGGGACGACATGACTCGGATAGCACTAACCCAAGCAGCAAACCCCTGAGATCACCTTCGGAATTGGACGAATCAAGTGTGATCACAGAAGACTTGGATGAAATTTTGGTTGACAGCGAGAAGAGTAGCCAATTCGAAAAGGGCGAGGCGTGGGACAACTTCGCGAAAGGTGATATCTCGGAAACAAGAATCGAGGTGTCGTTCGATTCAACGCCTGACCTTGAGAAACAGAGCATTGATGCTTGCACTTTTTCGCCTGACGGAAAATATTTGGCCACCTATTCGGCGGAGCAAGGAAGGATTATGATATGGGAGACCGATCAACTGATGAAAGGCGGGGGCGCAGCTTTTTGGTATTCAAAGACTGGGTCCACCGATTTGGAAAAACGACCTTATTGGCAAAAGAGAGCGAGTTTCGCACCGGCCTTTTCTATGAAAAGGGAGATGACCGATGTCGACTTTGCCCTTGCCAACGACGGTAATCAATTTAATCCCACTCCGATTCAAATGACCGCGTCTTCGATTAAACGTCATTCTTATTACATTTAGCCAAGTTTGTCGCACTTGGCGCCATCAAACTCCCTCAAGACGAACACGACCCCGAACCCTTTGAGTTGCTCGTTCCTCCGCCCATGAAGAAAGGCAAGATATTCACTTATGTCGTAAACACTCTACGTGACAAGCCCATCCTTCGGGAGGACCTCATCAAGTTAAAAGGGTCAATCAAGTTTACGCAAGATGACGAATCTTTTATTGTATGCGATGTGGAATACGACTATCTCAACGTCAACAATTACAAGGGAAACTTTATCTACGTCTACTCGACGAATCACTGGAGAGTCAAACACAAATTGATCATTGACGTGTTCTCCGCGTCACTCCGCGTGCTGCCTCACCCGTGGATTCAAGCAAAGATAGTCAGGAATTCCTTCTTGCAAGATTATTTTGTTATCGTTGAACAGGTTTGATTCTGTGACCATTACATTCGAGTCGTGTCTGTCGCGCCCAAGATTTTTACCATTAAACCATTCTCCTCTTTCCCCGTGTCAGTGGGATGTGGCATCCTTGTGGTCGTTGTCTACCGGACAGTTGGCGATCCGCTTTAAGTGCGTCCCAAAAGATTCGTTCCTGGATTCGGACGCTTCGCCAACTCTGTTTGCTTTGTCCCACAATAAGAAAATGTTGGCGACCTGGACATCAAAAGGGATCATGACGATATTCTTGTGCGAAGGGGGATTGGTGTTTTCCTCGTCCATCAATGATACTTCGGAACAGGCAATTTATGATGCAAGTTCGATCAAGAGGAATCTACTGTGGTTAGAGGGCGACGAACACGTGGTGACCATTAACGCGGACAATGCCGACAACCATCATCTCTTGCAGATCTGGGACATATACACCTGTCGACCGGTCATCAGGAATAGTAACCTTGGCAGCTCCTTTGTCTTCGAACCGAATGGACGGGATTTCTACGTGTCCAACACCGAACCGGTGCCAACGATTCATAGAATCACGACACCGCTTTCTCAAAGGAGGGTACCGATCGAAGGTCTACAATTGCAACCCATAGGAAAGCATTATTACTTTGAACGTGGATTCACCAAGATCTACTCGTACAACAAGAAACTGTTGTACGAGGCGGAACCAGGGCGAGAGCATGAGTACTTCTTACGCAATGATCATCCCATAGTCAACATTCACATAGAGCCGTGGCTCGCCTTCACACCGATCAAGTCGGGCTTTTGTCTGGATAAAAAAAGGGAACGGGTCGTGTACATCGGTCACTACACGGTGCAAATTTGGATCTTCAAAGCCGGGGCGGAGCCCGAATTACAATACATCTGGTGTAAGCCCGTCAAGGTAAGCTCGCTTGTGAGATTGGTTCTCTCCTTTCTTCTTGTTGCTGAACTGCGATGATTTATTTAAGGACAAAGGTCGGAAGGGAGTGAGGAGTAGAACCATATTTGCGACCATCGAGGAGGCGAGCCTCGGCAGGACTCAGGATGGCAAACACGTGTTGAAACTTCAGTGTGACGTCGAAGAAAATGATAAAAGAAGCTTTTCAAAGTGATTGTTAAATCATCATCATTATTTCGTTCTTTTTGACAATCAATCATTTGAAATCACTCGTCAAACCCTTTTTTTCTTAGATTCAGCATTCAAAACACGACCAACTACCCGTTAATCGATAAAATTCAGGAGTACAAGGAACGCCCAAGAAATTTGACGGCCATCGACAGGGACTCGATATTTCAGTTCGATATGGTGCTCCCCGAGGAAAACGAAACGGCGACGTTTGATATAATAGCTAGCGCCGCCGAGTCTTTGGGATACCTCAGTTTCGTGGAAAGAAAATACTGGATTCAAATTAGTTCCGGGAAAATTCATGAATACTTTGGGAAACTGCTTGACAAGTGTCAGACTATAATCACCAATGCCATGCATAACAATTCATATGTGTTTAATCAAATCATAGAATCTCAATCGCCTCTGGACATCCTCATCAAGACCGATTGTCAATACGCGGACAACATGATTAAAGAGTTTCTAAAGACTGACAAACAC